GTTGCTTATTCATCATTTTCATAAGAAGATGAGCTTTCTAAGTCGTCATAGGTGACCATCATGGATTTCTTCTTTGTATTTTTATCATCCTTTTTGAGTTGTGGACACAATGACCTGTAGTGTCCAAATTTATTGCATTCATAACATTTGATTTGGATTTTGGATGTTTCCCTAGTTGGTGATTCCTTTTTGAAAGAAATTCTTCTTATTCCTTTCTTTCTTCTGAGTAATCTCTGTACTTTTCTAGTAAAAATGGCTAACTCATCATCATCTAACTCATTAATGTTTGATTCTTTTGTTTCTATTTCCTTTACAAATTTTAATGCTTTTCTCTTTTGACTAGCTTTAAAAGCTACAATTTTTTCTTTAGGCTAAAGTTTTTCTTGAAATTCTTGTTCATGAACTTTAAGTGATCCAATTAGCTCGTCCATCTAAAGCAATCTAAGATCATTTGCTCCCTGTATAGCAGGTATCTTTGATCTCCAAATCTTTGGAAAAATTTTGAGAATTTTCTTGATCTTTTGATAAGTTGAGTACTTTTCTCCTAAGTTATTCATCTCATTCATTATAATAGTGAATCTGTTATACATGCTTTCTATGGTTTTTCTATTCCTATATTTTAAACATTTTCAAACTAGTGAGTTAACATATTTACTTTAGAATATTTTACTTAATTTATTCATTCATGTGCAACTCTCAGTTTTTCCCATATGTCTTTTATTGTGGTGCACTTTCTTACTTTGTCATATTCAATTCTACTTAATGCACAAGTAAGATAGAATTTTTCTTTCACATTCAACAAGCATCTTACTTTTTCATCAACATTTCATTCTTGATTCGGCTTAGTTACTATGATTCATGTATCTAGTGTCTTCTTAGGCATTATGGTCCTTCTTCTACTATCTCTAGTAGATCCATATCTTATGAGTCCAAGAATAGCTTTATTCTATTTCTCCAGTAGTAATAATTTTTCCATCAAAGGATGAGGGTCTATTTGTTAAAGCCCCTTCTAGAATAACATAGGTGGGAGTTCCATAGCCGTCACTTCTTCAGGATTTGTTCTCCCACGTTGTTAAGTGTGCTCAACTCTAGGAGGCAAGCTCTGATTCCAATTGACATGAATATTTAGAATTCAAAAATGGGGGTTGAGTGTTGGAATTGAGTATATTTTCTAAAAGCAATTTATAAGTTTACTTGTTTATGATTCAGATTATGCAGCAATATATTAATGAATGTAGTAAGTTAAATAAATAAGTAAGGAGACAAGGAAAGAGAGATTGAACCCAAGATTTATATTGATTAATTCATCCTAGCTATGCCACATTCAATTGCCACAAAATGTTGTGGGATTTTCACAAAGTCACAACCAATTGTTGTTCAAGAACTTAGCCACTTGTTGATACAAAACACCACTGGACAATCACTTGCTATTAGTAGCAACTACTTAGCCACCTACTGAGATTTCCCCACTCAACCACTTGCTGAAAAAATAGCCCCACGGTCACTTACTATGAGACTACACAACACCCTTTGTGATTTCTTTCTACTTCAATACACCACAACACACTTGGTTCTAGGTAGGGACAATATTTTTATAATAATGGATTTTTGTATTCTTGCTATCTACTAAACCTTAAACCCTAAACCCTAAAAATTAAACATAATAAAAAAACCCACACATAATAATATATTGTTATTAATAATAAAAATTAAAGGCAGTATAAAAAATTAAAATTTTATAAATACTACAAAAAATATTTTACTCATATTAACGTTTTTGTATAGGTATCAAGCATAGTTATTATTATTATTATTATTATTATTATTATTATTATTATTATTATATATATATATATATTATTTAATAAAAATA